TATCATGTGACAAAAACTTTTGCCGTTATTAAAAATTTATTATTCATGATATCCTCGCAATATAACGTGAGCCGAAGCTGTTTATGAAATAGTAAGTCGAATTAAAGCTACTTCGAAATTTTACTTTTATTCATTTTACTTTTCTTAGTGATGCATGTTTTATTTATTAATGTTTAACATATTGCTGGTTACTTAAAACAATTTGTTTTCTAATATCAAACGACTTAACATTCGATGAAATTTTAAATGTAAATAAATAAAAGCATACATATGAGCTTCACGCTTTTAAAATGTATTAAAAACTGATCATATTATTGATAAATGTTTGTTTATTCGAGCAATATAAAGTGTAATTAATTGACATATTTGGTCTTTAATAAAATCGGGAATCAAATGTAAAATTCATCACCAAATAATACAATTTAATATTAAGTCAATCAAAAACTGTAAATTTTTTGTCACATTAGTAATAATATAATACTGAAACATAGATATGCCAATGAATAAAAAAATGTACGTTATATATGATTATTTTAAAAACACTTATTTATTTTATAGTTTTTTCTATAATGAAAACATTATATAAGACACGGAGCTGCCATCTATTACAATGCAAACTAGTCGATAAGTGATGTAAGAAAATACATGTACCTGATTACATATATAAATATATATATATATATATATATATATATATATATATATATAAAGACTTTAATTATTTATTAAGCTACATAAATAAAAAAAAATATCCGAATCCTGGCTGGAGCACGAGACAGATAGATAAATGTAAATATAAGGCCAGAGTTTAATAGTATAAAACAAAAAATTATTGCAAACATTATTTGAGCACTAATCGTACTTTGAAAAGTACAGTGGAAAATTCAAATTTAGAATATGAGACTTTTTTATAGTCTTTAAACGGTATGAAACTAAAATTTTAATATTTTGTTTGATGTTTGACTTAGAAAATAAAAATAATGAGAGTTCTGACATACATAAGTGTTACACTTATGTATTTATTTTGGTCCCATAAGTGTAACAATATACAACATAAAACTGAATTATTTTTTTACTCTCATTTTCTCGACATATTGTAATTTAAATCGATTGAAAGTGAAAATTTGAAAGCTTGTTCAAAAGATAGATTGAAATCATGTAGTTCTTTTTAAATGTCATAAGTCAAGCTATTCATATTTAATTAATAATTGAAATAACATTTGTAAACTAATTTGAAAATTTAACGGAAATAATCATTTTTCCTCGCCGTCAACTAATTTTGGTTGATTTTTCTTCCACATTAACCAAAACCATTTTTGATAAATTTAAACATTCTAAAGGTTTTGAATAGATATCCGTTTAGTATGAATTTTATTATTGTTGTCAATGGATTAGTTTAGTATAAATGATATTAGTGGGGCCTACTCATTTCTCTGTTTTTTTCTTGTTCCAAAATAATCTCGATTTTGTGTAAAAATTTAAATTTGAAATTTTGGAATTAAATTTTTATCACAACTAGTTCTTTCTCAATGAATAGTTATAAATGTGCTAAGTTTATTTTTAATAGAAATATACATATGCTAAGCTTTTTTTTAGTAGAAATTGACCACTTCAAAAAAAATTTTAAAAGACTTTATTACGCTCAGTTTGTTTAAAATTTGTACTAGATCATATAGAATATATATTAATTGGGTTATAAGAAAGTTAAAACTTTAGCTTTCTTGTTAATATGTGCTTACAATTTTCATTTCTTCCACTACTGTATAAGAATTACTAGTACAAATAAAAGCCATTCAAAAATTAAAGTAGATGTCAATAATATATTTCATTTATTATACAAGAATGTTTATAATTTTAAATAACATTTTCGTAGTCCCTTACAGCTAACAGCCATTTTTTGCATTGATATTACCAACAGAACATGCAGAACAACTAAAATTGACCATTACTGTCATGTAGAGCTCTATAATTTACAGCAAACGTTCAGATATATTATATTTTGGTTCTTGGAATAGCTTTATAAATAATTTGGCTACTTTATATATTTATAATATGCAATAACATAACAAAACGCAAATAACTTGCGTCATAGTGAAACATGAAGAGTGAACGTTTAACAAACAAATATAATCATATAATCTCAACAAATTATTTACAAATCATATAGATTAGTGTCACACCTTATCATTAATATACTCTGATATATAATAATGCTTGAGCTGTAACAATCTAAGACTATTTTTTGGTTGGCTGGCTTACAAAAAATTAAATAGCTTTATATTTACATTTATATTTGATTTTTTTTGCCAGAACCTGGTAAATAAATTTACGATAAAAATCGGTACAATATTGGCATACGTGATTATTTAGAATTTATATAAAGTTTTTTCTCCATAATTTGAAACCTTGATGTGTCGAAAAATTGTTCGAAAGACATTTCAAAACAAATAATTTTCAAGGTTGTTTTTGCATATCTAAGAAAAGTAATAAAATATTATTCAACTTAATTATTTTTTCATTTATTTAGACTTATGTGTATATATATATATATATATATATATATATATATATAAATATAACTTAAATTCTTGCTACTATGCAACTTAAATTAAATTCCAATATACATTTATTGAATCCAATTTTAAGCAAACAAACTGAAAAATTGCAGATTTATTTCCAGCAAATTTGACTTAACTTTTGAACTAAATAATTATATTACCATTCGAAAATTTCAAATGTATTATCAGAATCTATTACTACAAATTTTTATAAATGTTAATAAGTAGTAGTTATATTATTTACTACTTTTTTTTGGTCAATGGAAAACATATATACAAATTTATTTACTTATTTACCATATGTGCCAATACTGTATCAATTGATAAATTGAGTTACCTATTTTTTGAATTACCATATATATCTCAGACGATCTAAATATATAAAAAAAAATATTTTTATATATAAATCAATATTATAATATAACTAATACCGATGATATATATTGTAAAAAGTAACCACCAATTCATAAGTAGAAATTTTGTAATTTCAATAACAAAAAATATTGTGTGTGGTAAACTTGGAAGGCAATTCCAAAAAATTTGAACTCTACTATGGTATATATAAATGCTAGTCAATAAATATCAATTAATTATTGAAATTTCAATTAACTGATTTATACAAATCTATTTTAAATTAATTAAAATAATTGCATTATTATATAATTGCCATACTGAATTATATGATTGAACTGTCAATCAGTATGAAAGTAACTTCGTTGCAATAATTTTATTCAAAATATTGCATATTTACTTGCAAATGTTACTGGTTTTCACTATTTTACAATATATATGTTTCCAAAAGCATTTTTGGATATTTCATTCCTATCTTTCTGCTCCTAATGAAAATCATCTAATATAAATTAAATATTTAAAATTTATAAATAATGCTTCTTCCGATTATTTACTTATGATTAAGCAATTTGAAACCTACCGCAATTGAAGCTTCAGGATTTAGTTAACTTATAAAGCACTGGTCTGGTTCTCATTTTTGAAATACAAATGGTCTTAGGGTCTCAAACTACCCGCTCTTAATTTTTATCAACTTTATATATCATGGATATATATACCTAAATATTTTTTAGATAAATAATTGTTTTAAAAGCTTTAAAAATTTAACATGTGAATATATTAATATTTGTTATCATTACTTAAGTAACATCTAACAAACTGTGTTTAGATTGTGAAACACAAACACGTAGTATACATTAATATCTGGACACAAAAACACAAACACATTAAAAACAGATGTTTTATTTTATTCATACATACGCATGAATATGTATGCATGCATTCATGTATGTATACATATATGTAAATGTACAGTAAAAACTTAATTAACCATCCTCATTATTAATCTGTTTTTTCACATAATGAACAATCCAGATAGTTAAATGCATTGAGAAAATAAGTTTTTGTACCCATATATGATTATATAATACATACTGACAAGCAATGTTTAAAAAAATTCAAGTTTTCTAGAAATACTGATATTTGTTCACTGCAATTCTAACTATGATACAAAATATATACGGATGTAGTTTTATCTTATTAAAATATTTGGTGCATTTCAAGATTTGACCTTGTCTGTGCAATTTAATCGATGTGAATGAAAGTTTTTATACTATGTACATGTATATATCAAATTATTTGATATTTTTATGAAGCTCTATGCAGAAAAAAATAGACTAGTTTTAATTTTTGTTTCTGGAAAATCCAGAAAAACTAATAGTTAAAAATATTTTTAATATTGAAAATTGTTAGAAAATGTAAAATAATATAATTTTTTACTAAAAATCAAAATAAATATGTTTTGATTTGAATAATTTGATTGAAATGAAGAGATCCGGTTCATCTACAAACTATCTAGGAGTAGAGTGCAGAATAATTTACACAACTTGATAAATGTGTAAAATATTCAACCAAACCTAGAACTAACGGTTTATTTCGACTTTATTGGGTTTTTCATTGCAGAAACTTTATACCTTTGAATTAAATTAGCCAAATGAAATCTTAAATATTTTATTTGATAAAATCTTATATCTTCTACACCTGGTTCTAGTTCTGGTTTTATTTCTCTTTCGAAATTTAATGGCAATGATATTTAACACTGACCGCCTAATTTGGTATGAACATATATTTGAAACATGTATTTTTAGCATGCATATGTAGAACATACCTTGTTAATAAATTTTTTAAATATAATTCTTAAAATATATGTTAGGTATACAATAATGTCACATAATTCAGTCAAATTATATACCGCAACTACTATTTTGCAATCACATTTTATACTTAAAAAATATGACCAGTATTTAACTCGTTTTGTTTTCTACTAAATAGATGCAAGTACAATTAATCAATCAAAGTAAGAAGTCCGTGATAGCTGAAACCTTGCATAAACTATTAGATTGTAACCTATAATTATTTTTTTATTGAAGGACGTCACGCACCATCTCCGAGCGCAAATTGATTATAACTTTCTTTTGCCTGCTCTGAGGCATTTCTATTATTTTCGCTATTAGATTCAAGACATTCTTCACTTCCATTTTTAATTGTTTGTTCAGGTTTTCTTGTGTTGGTTTCTTCCAAACTTAAGCATTTTACATATGATGCAGAAAATTCAGGAGCAGAAGATTCGTTGGATTGTTGTGTATATTTATGTACACTTTCATTTTCCTTCGAAATTATTTGGCTTTGACTACACATTTTGTCCAATTCTAATAAAGGAACCAAGGAAACCTGCTGTTTCTCTTCAGACGCCTGCTGTACAACAAAATGTCTCATATCTGTTTTAACCGGGTACAAGCCTTGTTGCACGCTGGACTCGCATTCTTTGCGCATGATATGTGCAATGGCTAAATTTTCTAAAAGAGGCAGTTCAATATTTCTGTGAGATTGTGGTAAATTTTGAGGCATCATTGGTTTTTGTTCCATACTGGATTGGTCTGTACTTGAAATTTCTTGGTAGGGCGCAGAAATTCCATCATGCGCGGATTGAAGTGGTGCTTCGATATCCACGTCTTGAGATAAGCTCATTTGGCGAATTACATTTTCTTGTATCGGAGAAACCTCCGCAAGTGTTTTGACTATGGGTAAAACTGTTTGGTCAGTTAGCATATGTCCATTTATTTGACTTTGCACCAGGGGCGCTAATTTTTGCAAGGCCTGTACGGGAATTTGCGGTTGGAGGCATGTTGGAGAAGATTGACATACTTCGAGACTTTGGTCGAAAGTGGTGGAACTCAAAGTTTGCGGGGACTGATTTCCGATAGTTGCGAGTAGGCGCGGTTTAAGGGGCAACAGCAGGTCCATGCTGCTACCTGTAGTTGCTGGACGAGGCTGCAGAGGTGCTAGACCTATGCAATCACCTAAAAATCAGATATAGAATTAATATAAAAAACAAAGATTTATTTATAACTGTACCTGCCAAAATAGATTTATTTACAGAGGCGGTGTATTATCAATGCATGTATTACCCATATATATGAACGTGTGGTCTGTATATTGTTATACGTATACGTCTGTATATATTACAGGTCGAATAAATTTCGTTTTCAACAAAATTACATTCTTAGTTTTATCGTATGTTTATTTCGTGTATCTATTCAGTTTTATATTCTGGTATTTGTTTATAATAATTTTTATTGCAAAATTATTTACCTCTAACTAATAAGGCTAACATAACATTATTCTAATTGTAACTATATATTAAAAATATTTTCAAACATATCGTCACTATAAGATCCTTGCCACGTGTTTGCGCTATGCAAAAGCCACTGTAATAAAGGTTTAATAAAATGTCTAATTTATCTCACCAAGCTTGAATTGACTTTTGTATTTGCTTTTATCAATTCAACTATAAGGTATCTAATATTATTTAATATAATATACTAAGGAAATATATTCTAAGTGTATGTACAAGAGAGGTCTATGAAGTGATTTATTTGGCAGAATAGAAGTGTGACAGAAGCGTGTTTGCAATCCAATAAGCAGGCATTGTAAGAAGAGAAGAATAAGCAGATTAGCGTTCATTTATTCAATCTTGTAAATCTTATCAAAGGAAACCGAACTTACTCTGCGACAACACCGCTAAACCGGGTATGGAGGGTCCCTGAAGGCTCAGACCTATCATGTTTAATCCATTCACCTCACCTTCAAAATTAAATTTTTCTTGTGATATTTGTTTTTAATGCAGATTATGCTTAGGTGTTTCATTATTTTTATTCGTTTTTATCGTTTTTAAATGCATGACTTAAGAAAGTTGCACCATCTGAATAGGCAAACAATAAAATGAACTTGGCTTTGAAAATATTTTCGCGTAAACTATATTTTAATGTAGTAAACAAATTTTTAATTTATAGTGATTAATTAAACTAACTATATTATATTTAATTATCTTAGTACTCAGATTATACTTATTATTCATTTTTAATATAAATTAAAATGAATTATTATTAAGAATTTGAATGTGAATTGTAACCTATTTAAAAGCTTAAAATTATATTAATAATGACGCTTTATATTCAAACGGGCTCTTTCAATACTAATACAGTTTTAGAATTATATGCATTATTGTAAACTAATTTATCATTTTCGATTATTTCGGGAACACCGGTCAACCGATCAACCGAATACAGAAAAAAACGATGATTAGTTTTTGAAAAAGCAGGTCCAGCTGTTTCGAAGATACGGGACAAACAGTGCCAAATATGCCTGAATTACTATATTCAGATTTTGAGAGAACGGAGCGTTTATTTGAATGATTCAAAAAATATTTTATTTGTATTGATTAAGAGAAGAACTGGTTCAATATTTGAGAAGCGGGTCCAGTGGTTTCGGAGATCCGATAAAAAAAGTGAAAAAAAATGCCATTAGGTGGACAAAAATGATCATTAGACATATGCGCATCAAATAACCTGATATTTCATAAAGATTTAAATAATAACTACGAATTTTGTTTACATTTCTATGGGTTCCGTACCAAGATTTATAATGTGACGCTTACGCGCTTCAATATTTTGTCTATGAAATATCTACGCAGCGTGATTGCATTGTAAAACTAGTGGGGTGTATGGCATCGTGCCTGAAGGCAAATTGCTGGAACTTTCCGTACCGTAACGAAATGTTCGAGGAATACTGAATGTTTTCAAATAGATTATTATTAATATTGTAACATTGTCTAATATTTATAAGAATTATATAAACTGAATTGCAAAGTTGAAATTATTTGTTTGAAGTATATTAGAACTATAGTCAGAATTAAAAATAAAATCGGAATTATTTTCGATATACCAAAAAAAAAAACTAAAAAAGAAATGATACAATTTTTTTTTCCAAAATCAATTATTTTGTTAAAACAAGCTGAAAGTTCTTTGAATCATTTAAATTGGACGCTTAGTTCTCTCAAAAACTGCCATTTTTTGCACATTTAGCTCTGTATCTTTGAAATGGCTGGGCCTGCCATTGCCAAAAACAATAATCACTTCTCCCAATCATAACTAATTGAATGTTTTTTACATCATTCAAATCGGATGCTCCGTTCACTCAAAAACTCGATTTCTATTTTCTGCGCTTTTTGCTCCGTATCTCCGTAACGGCTGGACCTGCCTTTGCCAAAAACTAATCAGCTCTTTTCCCTATCAATAGGAATCGAATGTTTTTTGAACCATTCAAATCGGTTGATCCGTGCGCCCTAAAACGTGACTGGAAATTTGTATCCATACATACATACACACACACACATACATACACACACACATCCATTTTTTCTGAGGTATGCCAAAACGTTCAGAAACCTTCAAAACGTCGAGAAACGTTAAAATTTTCATTTCCGATTTTCGGCCCATTACAATAACTTACCCTACGGGAAGTTAAAAAAAAATTCTCATTCTCATTCTCAGATAAAATCTGCTTTTATCAAAGTTTAAAACATTTTACAAAATTTTAAAACTTAAAAAATTATTTTTTTGGTTTGAAAGTTCCAGCAATTTTCCTTAAGGCACTCTGCCATGCGCCACTAGTTAAATATTATGATTATGACCAAACAATTTAGTTGGTAAAGTGATCACGAACGAGAAAAAACTTCATGTAAAAATAAAAAATCTCAAATGAAATCGATGAATGCGAGTTTATTTATCAATTACTACCGACATCTGCACCTGTAGAAGTATTTCTCCGAGAATGGTTCGTAGCTAGAAATATACGAATTTCACCCCCCAGAGTCGCTCTGTTTGAGTCGGGATACTCACCGATTTTGGCGCTTCCGAAGGCATCCTTGAACAAGGCCGGATGCGACTGAGGGTGCTTGATCGCGTTCATGCGCCGGTTAGTGGCATTGTTCATCTCGCGTTTCCGACGCGGCTGCTCCACCGGAAGCACTCGTCTTCGTTTCTTTGGCAGCTTTGATCTGGCCTGTTGAGGGAAATGTATTGTGAATTTTTATTGTTTCAATACATAATTTCCGCTGTGATTTTTTTTGCAAGGGCGTATTGTTTTACATAGATCTTCAAGTTTTTGTGTATATTGAAAATATATAAAACGTAGCTAACTTCTTATATGTCATTTATGCATACAAGATTTTTGAAGTAAAACTTCTTTAGGCGCGACTAGGGTGTAAATCCGTACAAATTCAACGGAAGTACGTTACGGCTGAGTCTAGTGCCAATGATTCGTCATTCGCTCTCGATGATATCATTTTTATACGGGTCGATTGTGATTAGTCGTTGAGTATGTGAATAGAGTTCTGTCCTTGGATTCGTACCGGCAGCAACGTTGTATGCGTACCGATATCAACAACGAAATCGGCATAGATGAATAAACATTTTAAAGTTACATCGTAGTACAAATGTTGATTTAATGAAAAATGCCTGAATCAGAAGAATATTTTACTCTGTTCCTTGAAAATAATGAAACAAATTAAACATTTGTACTAAACGTAAGTTTATTGATTAGAAATTATTTTTATATTATTCGTAGTTTCTATAACTGTTTGCAGTTATTAAAATGGAAAATCTTGTTTAGGAAAGATAGATATTACAGCTGTTCAAAGAATGATATTATATTGCCAGCGAAAAAGTAAACTAGTTGGTTTGGTATTTAGCCTTGAGGCAAGTTACATGAACTTCCCAATATGTGTAAATAATTGACTTAATCAAAAAAAAAGTGTAAATAATATACTTCATCAATCCTACTTTAAAAAACGATAATAATTTTAGTAAAGTTTGACGAATTTTTAAAATTAAACTACTTGTCGTAATGCCGTAATATTACAGTAAGTTCTATAAGACCATGATGTATATCGCCAAAAAAAAGTTCCATGAAAATCGACTTAAATTTTTTTTTTCAACAGTTCATTACAAGAAAACGGCTCGGTAGATTTTTACCTAAAATTAATCAGCACCATTCCCATCTAATATCTTTCGAACAGTTTTTAATTTTTTAAAATCGGTTCGGTAGGATGAGCTTAAATGTGGACAAAAATTTAACACTTTTTTTCAACAGTTAATTACAAGAAAACGGCTCGGTAGATTTTCACCTAAAATTAATCAGTACCATTCCCAACTAATATCTTTCGAACAGTTTTTGATTTTTTAAAATCGGTTCGGTAGGATGAGCTTAAATGTGGACAAAATTTTAACACTTTTTTTCAACAGTTAATTACAAGAAAACGGCTCGGTAGATCTTCACCTAAAATTAATCAGTACCATTCCCAACTAATATCTTTCGAACAGTTTTTGATTTTTTAAAATCGGTTCGGTAGGATGAGCTTAAATGTGGACGAAAATTTAACACTTTTTTTCAACAGTTAATTACAAGAAAACGGCTCGGTAGATTTTCACCTAAAATTAATCAGTACCATTCCCAACTAATATCTTTCGAACAGTTTTTTATTTTTTAAAATCGGTTCGGTAGGATGAGCTTAAATGTGGACGAAAATTTAACACTTTTTTCAACAGTTAATTACAAGAAAACGGCTCGGTAGATTTTCACCTAAAATTAATCAGTACCATTCCCAACTAATATCTTTCGAACAGTTTTTGATTTTTTAAAATCGGTTCGGTAGGATGAGCTTAAATATGGACGAAAAGTTTAACACTTTTTTTTAAATTGCAAAGAAACGGCTTGGTCGTCGCACAAAACTGACAAACGATAGTCCTCACCGAAATACATCAAATGGTTTTTAAATTTCTGAAATCGGTTCAGGCGCTTTTGAGAAAACGTCGATCAAAAGTCTAATTTTGACAAATGTCAAAAAAACTATACCAATTTTTGCAAACTTTGACGAATTTTTAAAGCTAAACGAGTTGTCGTAGGGCCGTAATATTTTAGTATGACCTAGAAAACTATGGTATCTACCGTCAAAAAAAAAATCATAAAAATCGTCGAATTTTTTTTTCTTAAAACGTTATTACAAGAAAACGGCTCGGCCGATCTTTACCAAAAACTAATCAGCACGATTCACAACCAATATCTATCGAATGGTTTTTGAATTTTTAGAATCGATTTAGAATTGCGGGCTAAAACGTGGGCGAAAAATTTTTCACTTTTCTGCAATTTACAACGAAACGGCCCGGCCGATCGCCGCACAAAACTCGATAGTCCTCATCGAGATACATCAAATGGCTTGAAATCGGTCCAGCCGTTCTGGAGAAAACGTCGATTTACGGCAAAAAATCTGTTCACACACACACACACATACACACACACACACACATACTTTTTCCAAATTTGGTCTCATTCGATTCAGAATGGCTCGAAACGTCGAGAAAACATAAAATTAGCGAATCGGATTTTTTGATGAAAACATAAACTTCTCCTTCGGGAAGTTAAAAAAATATAAGCAGACAATGAATGTATGTTAATTGTAATTACACGAAGTCTTTCAAATACAATTTCATGATGAGTGAAGTTGCGGAAACAATATTTGTTTAGGCGTTGTTTAACATAATCCACTGTGTGAACAAATACTAAAGAATTTATTAATCAGCAATTACTTCATTTCTCTAATGAAGGTTCATTTCTAAATGCTAATTACAATGACAAATCGATCATGTCATATTTAAAGTATGACTTTAATTACATTATTGTATTTAAATATTATACATATTTTATTATTATTAACTTTTTTATTTACAACTGTCCAGTAAAGGACATTCAGTAAATTTGATGAATTTACAATAGTCGGCCGAAAATGGACATTGTATACTACATTGATATGTTGGAAGAAACAACTCAGTAGTTGTTTTAATGCTATTATAAATATATAATTTATAACTTGTCATTATATAATTTAAATGTGTATAATGGTTGACACTAATAAATGTGTGCATCATAAGTGTTACCATATCACTAATAAACATTGTTCAAAATTGTTATATGATGTATTTATTTTTACTTAACTTAAAATTGCTACTTTGTACAGTAGCAAATAAGCTTTCCTTCAATCGCGTGTGATCCTTACGCACTCTTCTTTTTCTTTTTAAAAACATGTGTAACCTTTTAATTCTAAATATTGAATTTATTAGTGTGTCAATGGCTTTTTGATAACTTAAAATAATCTTAAAATGAACTTGTTGAATAGTTTCAAATTGATAAATTACACCACATGGTTTTGTAGTATCAATTGATTTAAATTTAGTTCACAAATATCATCTCGCACTTATTAATAGTGAAATAATGAATTTTCACTGCACGTTTCTAACCGTACCTAATTTTTAATTTTGATTTGGACCTAAATTTTTGATGAAATTCAATTATAATATTTTAATTATAAAATTCCAATGCCATGTTGTTTGTCGCAATAGTCCTGAAACGGTTTGACCGATTTTAATGAAATTTCATATGAACATGATGTTTAGAATGAGCGAGAATCGGCCAATATTTAATTTACATACCTTTAAGTGGTAAGGGTTGATCACCCCTAATTTTTCTATTTTTTTATATTTTTTATTTATTTATAACTTCTTATTATAATCACATACATATACATATATAACCCAATAACATAAAATTATAAAGTTGATTGATACAGTGTATATGACTAATGTACTTGTATACAAAGTAAAAAAAATATAAAAAAAGCATATAACCCTTAATTTTTACCTTTCTACCACAAACTTTGCAATAGTAATTTTAATAATCAAATAATTTTACATCCTACATTTGTTAATTAATGTTTTAAGAATTTTTTAAAATTTTCGATAATGAAACAAATTAGTCAATAAATGTTTTTCACTAAATTTCTATTATTATTTTTTCAAACTTATAGAAAACATTGAACTTATGTTAAAAAAACTCATTTTTAATTAAGAGTTGTCCATCACCTTAATTCTTAAATTTTGGGGTCAATTGAGAATTGAAAATATTATTAAAATCAGATAAAGACAACAGTTACCATTTATTTTATCACAGATTTTATCATTTGGCTTCTTCACTTATATAACACATATTTTATTTATATAGGAACCAAGTAAAATCAAATAATCTTCTAGCATTAGTCCGCTGGCATATTAAGAAATTGTGTATATTATCTAGTTGTCTCACAATAATATAAATAATAATAATATAGAAACAAAGAGAAAATATTGTGGGGATAATAGTGATTGCTATTGTTGTTACACGGAAAGTAATAAAAAATTCGGCATTGGTTGTACATCGACGAGTTCAGAACAAGTTTTGGATCCCGATAGCCCATTAGATCTACTCGATTTTAAACGAAAACCGATATCTGATATTATTTATAAAGAAATATGATATTCAATGCTCAGTAATCCTGTTTTACGTTGTATTTATTGTGCAAACATCATAAACCATATCCGTACAAGTATTATACAACAGAATTGTATGTACTCTAGCAAAAAGTTTTCAAGTGCCTAATCTCCATTCGATTTCAAGTGCTTCGGAAAATCCAAATACTTTCGAATCGTTCCCGATATTGTGTCACGCTGAAGGATATACGATTCAAATCCAATTCCCTTTTCCTTATTAGCCTACAAGGAACGTCGTCGTTCAGGCCTAACTCGATAAATCCTTCTATTTTATAATATCACGTATTATGCATACATATAGAACAATACCCGTTTACAACGGCTTGAGTATAAGGTCGCTAGCACGCCCACCTTGTTTACCATTCCTCCTTTGATTTTGAGAATAAATAATAAATTCGTATATATATATATATATATATATATATATATACATTTTGGCATGCTGTGAATATTCGTTCGATGCTTAATATCCGCTTTGCTGATGCAAGCAGCTTTTTAAATTACGATCTATTGGTTTTATTCTAACGCTCTAAAACTTCAATCATTCAATCACAATTAAAGGCTGTAGTATTACATTAGGGACTTTTAAACAAATGATTTGGCAATCAGTTTGTAATTGTTCAGATATTGTTAGTTTATAAATGT